TTACAAGAAAAGAAGCTGGATGGTTGAGGTTCGGGAGACAAAAAAGAAAATTAGAACAATTACAAAAGGTGATCTAGCCGTAACTCAATTGAAGGAAAGTATTTCTTTTTGCCCTCCATAGGAGTAAGCTAAAAGTGCGCCTAAAGATGTTTGAACATCTTTGAATGATGGCAGGGAATCCTCTGGAAATGACATCATTCCTAACTGTCCAGATATCTGAGTTCATGATTATGATCTCCATGAAAAAGCTAACATTCAACTGCGCTATGAAACTTTCATGAACAGAGACGGAGTGTTTTTTATTACTTTTTCAATTCAGTTCATGATAGAATTTTCATTGCGCACTCCGTCTCTGTTAGTTTTAAAATTGGAGCTGCAGTGTACCCAATCACCGGATATTTTTTAGCCTCCTAGCGCCCATATTTCTGAGTATGCATGCATTGTACGGTACAAAGAAATCCGGGTACTTCCTCTTACAAAGAACTCTAGCTATTTCAAAGGAGTTCTTCACCCGAATTTTTTTACACCATATAATAACTACTTATAAATTACACTATTGTTCTGACAAGTACTTGGTACAAAATTTCTAATTTGCTTTGAAAATTTTTAAAGCGAATCAAAGCTAATAAGAGCAACTTTGGCATGACCCTATCCTATTTGGCTCCTATTCTATTGGTGCCAAGGATAGAAAAGCTCACTCCAATAGGATCCGTACTCAAGCACCAAAAAATAGGAGGTCCCTAAATTTCTCCTCAAGCCCATATGGGCAGCACAATGCCCCTACTTTTCTATTGGGTAGTTTTCTCTGCCTTTTCCCTTCCTCGCCAACACACAAGAATAAGCTACCTCACACCCATGCGCTGCCTACCTCCGTAGCCACATTGCCCTCCTTGACGTCCTCCGCCCTCAGAGGCCGCCGCCGCTCGAGCTTTGCCCTCCCTAACTACATCGATCTCCACCACACCCTCCCTCAGCCGCCTCCATCCAAGATCTACCCTCTATGATCCAATCCACTGCCATCGTGCCTATCTTGGTGCCCCTCCATCTACCCCGACCGCATCCACTGCCACCGCGCCTATCCCAACATTCTCCGCTCATGCTTCGGTCTCCCCGGTGCCGATGATGTGCAAGAGGAGGAAGACAAGAGCGAGCAAACATTGTGGGAGTGACTCGGGCAAAGAGATAAAGTGATATGTAGAAGGATAAAACAAAATAAATAAAAATAAAAATATGTCAATGACAGATGGGTCCCACGTGACATAAGAAAAGTAGGGGGCCAATTTATGGGCTCCAGCTGGAGTTGAGTAAAAAAATATCCGAAAGTACAAGGAGTCCCTAAATCAAAAGTAGAGGACCCTGGTTTGGAGACTTGGAGGTGTTCTAAGCCTTTTGATCTATGTCACGTTTTGCTTCTCGCATTTCAGAACATGCACTTAACTTAACCAACTTGTCACCTTAAGTATTCACGAAGTTAAGTCAGACTTTTATAAAAAATTAGATCAGCTAGAAGGAACAAGGTGATTTCAGTTATGAATAAAATAACTAAATAAGCACAACGTACATGAATTAGGCTAAAGAGAACTGAAACCTAATGTGGTGGGATAGCACAAGTAGTACGTGGTGATGGCAGGTAATTAGAAGCTTGAATGTTAGCTATATAGTACGTTACGGAATATTTTTCATGCTGGCAAATAGTAAAAGTCAAGCTTGTTTATTAGTGGCAAACCACTTGGTTACACTTACACAAACTTTTGGGTGGACAGAGCATAGAAACACAGCACCTAATTAAGCCATCTCCATCGATCATCAACCATGAACCATAATCTTGTATCTTCTCCTAGTAGCTAGACTTATGAAACCACCATCTATGCATCCAAAGAATTCCTTGATTGGGACTAGATATGCATATGTGTCTTCGAATCAAATCATCCATCACACACACACACACAATTCACGTGCAGTACAATTAAACTGACATGCATAACTATTGTGTAACAGCTCCATTTTGAATTAGTCTCCTCCGTTGCATCAATCATATTATATGTTTCCAAATGTATGCTTGCTTATAGCGCAAGTTCTTACATCTGACTCGATCAGGGGTGCTTGATCATCAGTGTTATAGTTCAACTGCCTGTCTGTTGGTTCTTCTGCATATGTATGTTGTCACTGGTTCAGAAGGCACGACTAATAAGGCATGCGAGGAACAAGAAACATCTCTGTCAACGCGTTGATGCATTCGTTCATGTGTGACTGTGTGTCCAGCAACAATACAAATTCACCAATCTGGCCTAACCTGTGTGTTGTGCCTGCGTCAAGATTGGTGGCTGCCTCACCTTACCTCACCTGTACCTGAAGAAAAATCCCTCTATTCTGCAAGATGTACAAAGCACCTGGCCGGATAGAAATTAATGTGTCCCCATACCCTCTGAAATCTGGATGATATGTAGTGTCACTGTGTCATTGTGAAGACATTGTTCACTTGGTACAATCTGGTATAAATATCAAATATTTCGTTTGAGATCAGCAACACAATTGGATAAAAACGGCGGATATGTTCCTCTGTATGTATTTTATACTCCAAACAAAAGCTTCTTGTCCGACAAATCACAAATGTATATATGACAAGGACAGTCTTAGATTATATCCTTTCTGCCCATGCATTCACATCAGTAAGAACAGAGGTATCCAGTATGCAACAGGTTCATTGTAGGTGAGCCTACGTGTTGGCGTTTCAACATAAAATCTGCATAAGCATTCCTACTTTTTTTTTAATCTTAGCGCAAAATGGAGTCCTAAGAATAGACAACACTCTGTAGCTTGCCAACAATGTTTGTACAGCACAGAGATATTTGTGCAACCCAATTTCATCAAGTCCAGTCCTGAACATTCAGATCAGCATTGAAAACTAAAGCTTCCAGCCTCTTTTGCTTTCCTTTCGGTTTTGTGCTTTACAAGTCACACATTAAATCTAGAACCTAGTACAATCATTTTATCACTTGCAGTGTGCATGGCCCCATTTTTGGGAGAGAGATAGAGAGTGATCAGAGTATTAGGAAAGCTCTTGCCAAAAGGGGAAAAAATCAAAATAGTGAGTGTGTGTGTGTGTGTGTGTGTGAGAGAGAGAGAGAGAGAGAGAGAGAGACTAGTCATCTTGATGAGGACATATTCCCAACAAAATTAGGATGAAAAGAAGTTAAACTGCAAGCTTCTCTTTCTCTTATCATGAAACTGTTTCAGGACGTGGCAGAAATTCGTTTAGACAAAAAGAGAAGCACTTGTTTAGTGAAAGTAAGAATACAAAATAATACTACTTCAGTGGCAATTCGTATAAGCCTGACTTGCTCAGTGACAAGTTATTAATATTTCAAAAAATAGTGTGAAGTCAAGTCTAGAACAATTTAAAAAAAAAACTGAAGAAGTTGAACAGCGAGTCTAGAATATTAAAAAAAAAAAACTGAAGTAGTATGACTACATGGTAGGGACCATATTATATACAGAAACATAGCTTAATTAGCAAGGGTGTGGTACTACCACCATTATATCGTCGTAGGTTCATCCGTCAATCTACATTCTACTAGCGGGCAGACACAATCCAGAAAACTCGTTTGTTAGTTGGAACTTCATGTGTGTGTGCAGCTAGGCTGTTGAATCAATTCATTGATCATGCACAGTAGAATTAAAGTGACATGATGCATGATCGCTCTGCAACAACTCTCCGTTTAGAATTAGTCGTCTGCATGTGCATTGCGCCAATGGTACGTTTCCAGCCATATGTATATCTGCTTGCTTGTTGCAACTTCTTAGACCAATCAGTGGTGCTTGATGGATCGGTCTTAAAAACTCGACTGCTTCAATTCGTTGGCTGCTGCTGCTTCATCTGCATTGCCATTTCTTCAAGGACATCTTTGTCAGACCTGTCGTTGAGACATTCATTCATGTGTGTGTTGGCTGTGTCAATTTAAACATAGAGGGTGCGTCACCTCTCACCTGCATCTGCAGAAAAATGATGCAAATAGCACCTGGTCACCTAGATAGAGACGTCGCTGTTCCCTTTGAGGCGGTGTTTAGTTCCCCCAAACTCCCAACTTTGACACTATGCAAAAAGAAGATTCTCCGTCACATCAAACTTACGGTATATGTATGGAGTACTAAATGTAGATGAAATCAAAAACTAATTGCACAGTTTGGTTAAACTTTGCGAGACGAATCTTTTGAGCCTAATTAGTCAATGTTTGAACAATAATTCACAAATATAAACGAAATTGCTACAATGTTTGCCGTCACATCAAACCCTGTGCAAATGCGATTCCGGCCGAACTAAACAAGGCGTGAAATTGGTCAGACCTGTTCTGGTCAGGTGATGAGATCGAGATCACGCCATTGGTTATTCACGTAATAAAAAATCAATCACACCTGACTTTGGGATCACAAAAGAAAAGCGTACAATACATGCCATTGGCAAGCCTAGTTAGCCAAAAAAAAATCCTCATTTGCCCCTGCCATGTCGGTACGATATCCAATTTTGGAACAAATTCATCATGGCAACATTTGTTCAGCATGCCATAGCATATTCATACTCAAACTTGGCAAATCCTAGCCTTCCTCACATTTTAAAATGAGAAGGGTTGGGAAATGTTAGTACACAGTTCTGCATAATGCACAAGTTGGCATTTCAGTATTTGCATCAACCATTCCTACTTTTTCTACAGAAACCATCCCAGAAATGTTCAACACTACGTAGCTCGGCAACAACCACACTGTTCTGCATAATGCGCATGTTGACGTTTCAGGATTTGCATAAGTTGTTCCTACTTTTTCTACAGAAGAAATGGTCAGTACTATGTAGCTTGGCAGCAACCATTTGTCAATACCTACTATTGGCTGATTCAAAAGGGATCCTTGGACAAACACTATTCCATCATTCCAGTCCAACGCATTTCACATCAACATCCAAAAGTGAAGTCCCCAGCGTGAGGTGATGCTGCCAAGTGCCAAACAAATTAGGGTGATGAGAAGTTAAACTGTACGCCTGCCTTCCCCTTGTCATGATCAAACTGTTTTAGGATGTAGCAGTAGTTCATCTGGAAAAGAGCAGAAAACCATGTTAAGTAAACTTTAAGCACCAACTTCACCACTAAATTCACCGGAAATTTTGAAAAGTGCGACAGGACAGACCTCTATGCGGAACAGTTTGGTTGGCACAACTGCACCGAATCCTGTAGAACTTCTGAATGTCTGTAGGAAGTCAGTAAGGGAAAACTTCCCACGACCATGCTCTGTTAGTTTAGCAAGATTTCCAGCAGAAATGAATGCGTGGCCATGAATTCCCAGCTCCCTGAGTGGCTTCAGAGGAAGATCAAATGACAGATCAGCAAAGGCTGTGACTGCTATGTCACCTCCCCCATGTAGCTCAGGAGAAGCAAAAGCACCATTCTCAGAATTATTTGGGGCAGAGGTTCTGAAGTCTTTCAGCTCCAGACCTTTTGCTTCAAAGCCTGAGAGTGATGATCTATATAGCACGGATACGGATATGTGTATCGGTATCGGAAGGATACGGATACGCGGATACGGCAATTTCTTAAACAACCCGATACGCGGATACGTTTTAACTATTTTATTAATAAATAGATAACAATGCATATTAAATTGCAAAATAGATGTTCAAGTTCAACATAGAGACATTTAAGGTCTATTACACTCAGAATAACATGATAGCAGGTTCTAATATAGGAAATTAATATCGGTTGTTTCTCTGGACCCAGATCCCACACTACCACTAGCACTAGCACTAGCACTAGCACTAGCTACACTACTCAAATTTAGAGATGCCATACTGGACAATGAACATTGGACAAAATAAAAAAGGCTCTAACCAGTAATCAGGAAGGGGTAATGGCCTTTGGCCTAATGGGGCAGGGCGCACTGGCTCAGCTCTAAATTGGATTGGGGAGGGAGAGCCGGAGAGGAACTCACCTAAGCTGGGGGCTCCTTGTCGCCGGCGAGGGCGAGGGCGGAGGCTGGTCGCCCGCCCGGACCGTCTTCTCCTGGAACGCGCTCGTCGGGGCGTACTCGTCCTGGAGCACCGGCGAGGCCTTGCGGGTCTACGGTGACATGCGGGCGTCAGCGGCCCCAGGATCGGCGCCCGACGGGTGCACGCTCGCGTCCGTCCTCAAGCCGTGCGTGGCGGAAGGGGACGGGCTCTGCGGGGGCGAGCTGCACAGGCTGGCGGTGAGGGCGGAGGTTGGTCGCCGGCGAGGTCGGAGGCGGACTGGCGGCCGGCGGGAGGCGGACCTGTGCGAGGCGGAGGCGGAGGCGGTTGCTCGTGGGAGAGACTGGGAGACGGGAGCAGGGCAAGGTGGGATGGTATTAACCTATTGGGCCGGCTGGGCCGTATCCGACTGGGCCGAAACGTTTCCGATCGTCAGTTTCCGGCCCAACTAAGTTGGGATACGCGGATACGCCGCGGATACGTATCCCAGGCGTATCCGTATCGGATACGTATCTGATACGGGATACGCCCCTTCCCTGCCGTGTCCGTGCTTCTGAGGTGATGATGGTCCACCCAAGCGGCAAACAAGGGACCTGTTACCACCCAAGTAAAATCTTTCTGAAAGTGGTAAAATAGATCTTGTGGATCTCCTTTCCAGCGGAATGATGACTCCTGCAGCCATGCCAGCATTGAGAGCACCATTCAGACCACCAAGTGGGAAAGCCACTTGAAGATCAACTTCCTGATAGGCAATCAACAAAATGAATGATGTTAAGCACGACTGAATAAACATGTTTCAGTTTGAATGTGCAGTGTGTTAGAACATATACAGGATTAAAATGGTGAAATTCAAATTTAAAACTGCCACCTTTTTTGTTAGGAACTAGGACTGAAGACAAAGCCAACTGCCATTTGACTGCTTTAGCAGACCACGAAACTTTCTGTTTTTTAGCATTGGTCCACTAATCATAGAAACAATCAAAAAGTATATTTCAAGGGAGAAAATTCGGGATGTGGCCGCAATGTGCATGGTAGTACTGATTGTGCAGTTGGAAAAGAAAGTAAGACAAAGACAATGCATGATGAGTATAAAACGTCCAAAGACTTAGAATGCTACCAAAGAAAAAGAAAAGTAAAAAGGATATGATTAAAAGGTGTACACCTGGTTTTATGGGAAGCAAAGGATGACTAGAAAGGAAATCAGATATACCTTACGAAGACACCATTAGTCTTTGCTTCCTGGTGCAAGGCATCCAACTTGGTAAGATGAAAAATAAGCATACCCACGTGTAGGCCTTATGCTTGAGTCCCTCTGGATATCCTTGTACACATACTTAATAGAGGACAAAAGCCTATGTCCTAAATGCTCTTGTGTGGAATTGGATGACATGCATGCTGGATCTGTTAAGTTTTGCCATATCAGGTCGTAAGCAAGGCTATGATTCGTGGTGGAGAGCAAGCCAACAGAAACACCCATAATGTGCTCTTTGAGTGAAGACTTCAACCAATCCTCCGACAGAAATGATATCCTGGCATGTAGTCTTGCTCCAATTCTTGGCATTTCCACTCCAGCACTTAGTTCTGCTATGTGATCTAATTCAAGAGCACCTGATGTATCCCAGGTTTCGCAGTAGCCAAATAAGTTCTTCAACTTCAGTGGAACTTCCAGTAAAAACGATCTAGCCTGCAAAAAGTTGTAGTGGTGTAGACAAAGAAAATTGGTGAGGCTTGAGAAAGTGAATTAGAGAACAATTTGAGGTAATTCATCTGATATAGTAATGTTTGATCATCATAATTCATGCATCATGACATACTCGATCTACAGCACAGAGTATAGTTGCTAAAGAATGATTACTAAATGTCTACCTAACAGATGCACGTACAGTTAAATGTGCATGTTAAGTGACAAATGATGCATGAAAGATTAATTACTTGAATCCAAGCAAATTGGGGCATGCATAATGTTGGCATACAGAGCTACAACGTAACACAAAAGATCCTGTAATGAAGAATGTTAGATATAATGCAATACTGAACCATAACAGGAACCTAATAGATTGGCTCTAGAATCAAAATAGCACAAATCAAGAATCACAACTATGTCGTATTGATTCCACAATGCAGCTAAATAGTGTTAATTGACAACTTCCAACTAATGCGACTACAAGCTTAACTTTTTTCTTAAACAAATCACACTAAGAACTGATACACCTCGAGTATTCCTCAAGGTTAGGGCTGTTTACCATCCAAGACATTGTATTGTTACTAGCATAGCAGCTGCTAAAATCAAAATTAAGTAGGCATGGCCGTGTCTCATCATTCTGAAGGACTGAAAGCAAGGGCACTCTCCTTTAGGTTTGGATGTCTGATTGTGGTCTAGGTCTCTAAACTAAGAAATTTCAGTGCTTGGGTCTCAATTGGCAAGCCTAATAACATTTGGGACCCAATTTGCATGCCTCTCAGAATTTAACAATGGGGCCAAGAATTGTTTGGGCTTGGGTGTTTGTGTGTTCCTGCCATTTCCTTTCTTTTGTTCTCTTCACTTTCTCTTTCTTTACAGTCCAAGTAAACAGATCAAGTCCCAACCAAAAGAGTGCACAACAAGATCGACACTAAATTGATGCACCGTTGCACCCCCACAATAACACAAACATAATTCCTTATTTTTTTCCTTCTCTATTCTTTATCCCTACCAACTCCTTCCTCACCTCTTCCATTCCCAAGTTCAGATAGTTTACTTCCGTCAGGTCAGGGACAGCGTTCAAATACCCACGCTTCTGCAGGTACTTCTCAATTCTCATACTCTGGCTGGAAGAAGTAAGTTCGGCATGACCATGGCACCTGCACAACGGATCACAGTAAGTACAGGAATCGAGCCCCAAGTTCTGAAATTTCCCATCACAGTAAGCACAGGGCAATGTTTTCAAAGAGGAACAAAGCTTCCAGCACGCATAGCATAAGCATTTTGGTTCACACATGTAACTGGCACAAATGAAATGATGCCAAGATTGATAATCCTACAAATGGACATCACAAAGGAGTAAAGCACTCACCCCCTCGTGGTTCCTGGGGCACACGAAGAACCTCTTGCCGCGATTTTTCGTGTGCTTGCAGGTGAGCGCAATCAGACTCACGTCCCCGCACCTGGGGCAATGGATCAGAGGCAACCCCGTCACCTCATCCACCGGGAATGGCAGTGAAACCCTAACACTGGCGCTGGATCCCCGGCTGCGCGCGGACGAGGACTGCCCCATGTCTGCTGAAGCGAGCGAGCGAGCACGGCCAGGGGTGGTGGGAACTGTGGGAAGCAAGGCGCGGGACTGCGGTCTGCGGGAGGGTGGGTGGGACAGGAGGCCGCGAGGCGAGCGCCGGGCAAGGCGCGCGCCACACGGCGAGGAGGACGCGGCGGATGGCGAGCACGCGGCGTTGCGGCAGGGAGGTAGACGGCAAGCGCGGCAATGCAGGCGGAGAGGAGGCCCTACAGCGCCGGTGCAGGCGCCGGCGCCGGCGAACAGGGCGAGCGGAGCGGAGTGGTCTCGAGTCTCGACCGTTCGAGTCTTCTAGTTCAAAAAATCGGTTTATATTACTTTATTATTTGGACTGGAAAAAAGAAATGGAGAAAGAATAAATAAAATCTGAAAAAGGATGAGAGAAATTTCCAAACAGACACCATTGGCAAACCTGCAAGGCAACTCAGTCCTGTAAAAGGAAAACATTTTTAGTCCTGTAAAAAGAAAACATTTTTAGTTCTGTAAAAAGAAAGTATTTTTAATTGGATGCGTACAACAGTTCTAAAAATGGCCGGAGATAACTCATGTGTGTACTCCCTCCGTATTGCAATGCATTATGACTAGTTACTAAGCATACAATCTCATTGCCCATGCCCAAGCGTCCATGTCGGCACCATATCCAGTTGGCAACAAATCATTCATGGAAAAAATTGCTCATCATGCCTTAGCATAGCCAAAATTCGCAAGTACAAGTCATTCTCACACTATAAAACTAGAGGCAGAGGGGGAGAATTTTAGTACACATTTCAGGATTTGAGTCATCTGTTCCTACTTTTTCTACACAACACAGTCCCAGAAATGGCCAACACTGTGCAGCTTGGCAATGGCTACTGTTGGCTTATTCAAGCAGATCTCTGGACAACACTGTTCCATCATTTCCAGTCCAAAACATTCGCGTCAGCAATGAAAACTTAAATCCCCAGCCTCAGATTGCTTTTCCTTTTGCTTTTGTGCTTTACAAAGTCACAGCATTAAATCCATATCCTGGTACAAACAATTTATCACTTACAGTTACAGCGTGACAGGCTTTCTTTTTACATGAGGAAGTTCTAGACAGGCTCCTCCATGAAAAGATCATAGTGAGGGGGAAAATAGGAATATTTCAACTTAAATAGATAACGCTGTGAGAGAAATTAGGGCGATGAGAAGTTAAACTGTATGCCTGTCTTCCCCCTGTCATGATCAAGCTGTTTTAGGATGTAGCAGTAATTCATCTGGACAAGAGGAGAAAAATGTGTTAACTAAACTTCTCTGTGGCAAATTCATCACCAACTTTAACGGAAAAAACTGAATAATGTAAAGGGATAAACCTCTATGCGGAACAGTCTGGTTGGCACAACAACGCCGAATCCTGCTGAACTTCTGAATGTTTGTAGGAAGTCAGTAACAGGGAACTTCCGCAGATCACACTCCGTTAATTTAACAAGGTTTCCAGCACAGACAAAAGCATGGCCATGAATTCCCAGATCCCTGAGCGGCTTCAGAGGCAGATCAAATGATAGGTCGGCAAAGGCTGTCACTGCTATGTCACCTCCAAGACCATTTAGCTCAGGGGAAGTGGAAGTGCCATTGTCAGAATTATTGGGGTCATATGTTCTGGATTCTGTTGCCCCCAGTCCTCTTGTTTTGAAGCCTAATAGTGAAGATGGTCCACCCAAGCGGCATACGAGAGGCCTATTACCACCCAGGTAAAATCTTTCTAGAAGTGGTGAGACAGATCCTGTGGATCCCCTTTCCAATGGATGGATGACTCCCGCAGCCACTCCGGCATTGAGAGCACCACTCAGCACACCCAGAGGCAAAGCCACTCGAAGATCAAATTCCTGATATACAATCAAGAAAATAATAAGTACCTTTCAGTTCAGATCAGTTCAGTTGTTGATAAAAGAATATCCTAATGCACAGGGCATTAGATTCTAGAAAATAAAAATGAAGAGACCATTTTCACCGAAATTTAAACTACTTTTTTTTGTGTGCCATGAGCAAGGACTGAAAAGGGGGAGCTGCTATTTCGATGCTTTAACAGAGCACAGAACTTTGAAAGTTTTTGGCCCTTGGTCAGTGATCAGACAACAAAAGGTATATCTACTGGGAGAACGGTAGACTGACAATATCACAATAATCAGCTTTGTTAGCATTGATCGTGAATTCGCAAAGTCAGAGGTACAAATACAATACATAATTTTAAGTAATCAATCAAAGATCATAATGATGTCTAAGAAAAAGACAATAATGAGGCTCACTTAGGATTCAATTAAAAGGTGTATTGTGTAAAGCCTAGTTTTCAAGCAAAGCAAAAGGATGGAGCACAAAGAAAATCGAGATATACCTGCCTAAGAAATCGTGAATATTTGCTTCCTGGTGCAAGGCCTCCAACTTGAGAAGACGAGAGAAAAGCATATCCACGTGTAGGCCTTATGCTTGAGTCCCTTTGGTCAACCTTGTACGCGTACTTAACAGAGGATAAAAGGCTATGTCCTAATTCCTCCTGTATGGAATTAGATGACATGCATGTTGGATCAGTAAATTTTCTCCATGTCATATTGTAAGCAAGGTTGTGGTTCACGGTGGAGAGCAAGCCAACAGAAATGCCCATCAAGTGTTCTTTGAATGAGGACTTTAACCAATCCTCAGACAGAAATGATATTCTAGCCATCAGCGGAGTTGGTATTGCTCCGATTCTAGGCATCTGGACTCCAGCACTTAGCTCTGTTGTTTTATCTAATTCAAGGGCACCTGATGCATCCCAGGTCTCACAGTATCCAAATAGGTTCTTCAACTTCACTGAACCTTCAAGTGAGCATGATCTAGTCTGCAAAAGGTTCACATGAAGAAAATTGGTGAGACTTGAGAAAGTGAATTTGGGAACAAATTGAAGTCATGTATATGATATAGTGACACTAATCACCATTTATCGTAATAGACTTGAGCAGGAATAAACAGTATGCACAAATCCAAAGCTAAATTCACCTTTAAGTGATGGAGAATACATGAGATAACCTTGAATGATTTTCATCTAAGCTAATGCAGCAGAGCGTGTGTGATTTTGGAACGGACAAATATGACAGGACATGAAAAAAGTCCTGCAACGATACTGCAATGCTGAACTAGAAAACGCAGGAAACTAATCGATTTTACTCCAGAAACAGAGCAGTAGGAATTAGGAACCAAAACCACATATCTATTCCATAATGCACCTTAAGATAGCCCGATTAACTCCCAATTATATGCAAGAATATTCCATCTTTTCCCCTAAACAAATCACACTAGGCAAACAGATACAACTCAATGGTCCTAGTAGTCATGGGCCTTGAGCCCTTGCCTGATCATTCTGAAAGCAAGGACAATCCACTTGATTGTATTGAAAGTGCCCTCTTTTAGTTCAAATTAGCTAAGATTCTGGTACGAGGACTCTCTTAGTTCATTTAAAAGTGAATTCGCTTGACTCCTACAAGAACATTGGATCACGCAAGATGCAAACAACTCAATTCTGTAAAAACTAAAGGAGACATTTTTAGCTGAATGTGTACCTGAGTGTGGGCGAAGACGCCGAAATCACCAGCAGCGCGGCCGCGAGCCTCCGCGACGTCAACGAGGACGACGACGGCGCTGCCGGGGATCCCTGGCGGCGCCGCGTCGAGGGTGATCGAGACAGTGTCGAAGGCGCCGAGGAGACGGAGCCGGTCGCCAGCCGCGGCCGCGGCGCGCACGAGGTCCCGCACGGTGGCGGCGCGCGCGAGGTCCGGGCCGACCGCCGCCTCGACCGCGGCGCGGCGCGTGCGGGCGCAGCCCCGGATCGTGACCTGGTGCACCCGGATCCGGACCTCGTCCGCGGTGAGCCGCCGGAGCACGGCCTCGAGGCGGGCCGCCTCGGATGAGGACGAGGGGTGTTCGCCGCCATCTTCGTCGGCGGCGGCTTCGTCATCGAGGTCGTCGTCGTCGTCGTCGAATTCTTCATCGTCGTCATCCTGGTCGAGGTCGTGCGTGGCGGGGGGAGGTGGATGGGTGCTGTCGGATGCGTTTGCCATGGCAGCAGTTGAGAGCAGAGACTGATTGTGACTGGACTGTAGCGTGGTGGTCTGTTACTTGCTTCTCTTCTCTTCTGAAGAATGGAATGGGCAATTCTGTAGAACAAACATAAACAAGACTTCGCAAATGGGTTTAAAGCATCTCTGACCGAGAGAACGAATGGTATCTCGGCTTAGATGAGATTTTGTGAATTTGTTTTGGCAGTATACATGTTTAGGCCGGAATTCGTATGAACTATGAAGCAACTAAATTGTCATCTGTTTTATACCTTTATCATTGGCTCATTGCCCATCAAAATTCTCTGCACACACCTTGTTCAACGGTGGAAGCACAAGACCCAAGCCTCGCGACACAAGCAAGGAGCCAAGGAGAAGACACAGAGCAGCATATTCCACCATCTCAGTCCCCAAGCTAAAACACTTGACATGGAACACTTTCGGAATCATCTGATTGGGCAAAAACATTTCGTTTCAGATGAAAAGTGCAGCCTATACAATCATCACATTAGGCTCTCCAATCACACTGATAGCATGTACAAAACATTGGGCAGGATAGCACAGCAGTAGCGCAGGGAAAAGCAACATTGGGAAACAGGAATATATTGTACTAGTCCTGAAAACGACAAAAGCCCATTGGACAGAATCACATGGGACATGGAAATCTTCACAAAGGCGTCAAAGCCAGCATGGCGGAAAAACAACAGGTCTCACGCATTTACAGACAAGACAGACACAGTCCACCTTAAACTTATGCAGCTGGTAGCCTCTCCCAAGAAGCAAAGTACCCTCAAGCTCCTTGTGTACTGCGGCATCTTCAGTCAGTCAGCATACTTCACATCTGACAGATACACTCGGGACTGTATGACGCTGGTCCCAATCAGGAAACCAGGCATCACCATCAGGCCAACTTTTGGCCTCTCCACACCCTCTTCTATGATGATGTTCTTCACGACACTCTCCATGTGGATTTCCGAAAATTCACTTCCCTTTTTCACTTGAAATACCTTTGCCTTTGGATCAAAGGAGTAGGCCAACCTGTGCAACAACCAGATGGACTTGGCTAGCTTTAGGAATGCCTGGTAGAAAGGTGTCCTTGGATGGCCACCACTCATGACGTAGTTCCTCTGATCCATGTTGCCGAAGAAAGAACCTTCCATTTTTGGATGCACAAGCAATAGGTATTTGCTTCTGCAGAACTTTCCGAATATTGAATCAGGGTTCTGGCTCAGGACATCCAGAGGGTCCATGGCTCGCACTGCGAGGAATTGATGGAAGAAAGCCTCGTTGGAAACACTGATGTTAGAATCCTTGATAGAAAAACTCTCTTCTTGGAACCCACTGAACATTCTTTGGCAAATATAGGATTCAAAAGCAAACTTCTTGTGAGCCCTTCTTGTGTAAACTACACCAGGTTCAATCGCATTAGCAGCCCCATCAAGATCCCAACCTGCAGCCTTCATCATGTTGATCAAAGGCTTTGAAAACTCATGTATCGACTGGTATGCATTATCAACAGCAGATGTAAACAAACTAGGTGTCAATTCGATGGAGAAGTAGTTCTCTTCTTCATCAGATTCCTCTGATTCCTTGTTAAGTAGGCCCCTTTGTTTCAGTTTCTTCTCTAGCTTTGATTTTCGGAGTTTAGCTTCATCAATTTGCTGCTGTAAATGGGTTATCTCAGTATCTCTAGTCTGGATCTGGGACTGGAACTTCTTTACCATGACCTCATAGGTCTTCAACAAATTCTGCTGCTCTTGTATTTCAGAAAGCAAGCGTGAATCTTGAGGGGATGCTGCTACTGGCTTAGGATCTTTTTCTCTGTAAGCATGCTTGAGTTCTGAAAGCTTTGTAAGCTCCTCTATGACAAGCTTATCAGCTTCCTGGATCTTGTCAGGGTCATATGGGGTGTGGGCTTCCTGCAGCTGAATGTATGCAGATTTTAAAGAGGATATGTTGTTGAATATCCTCCCGATCATAGTGTCCATTGAGTTCCCATTCTGATTCATGTTCTCATCAATTGGTTGAGGATGAACTCTTTGATTGTTGATATCATAATTTTGTGACTCCTTTGAGCCTGGGCGGATCATTACTTCTTCACCTCAGGATCAAAGAAGTTAGTAGTCTTCAACCTCTCAACAAAAAATTGGCATCCACCTGCAAAGAAACTATTCAGTTGAGGTCACAAATTTACAACAAGAGATACGAATTTGATAGGAGTAGTTCAGCCTGTGTTGTCCGGCCAACATATGAATGGTTCAAAGCTATTGTAATACAAATGGCATGCTAGCACAAGGGGGGAAAGTGATTAGAGGCTTAGAGCAAAGTGCATTATGGCAAGCATTGGTTGCTGCAATCTGAATTCAACAACAGATCTCCACAATCTGACCACAACTTATGGAAAAGCCAAACAAAACAGGAAAGATAAAAAAAATTAATGTAACGGAACACTATACATTTATTAGTCAGAGCTCATTCGATAGAGTTATATCCATTTCTCAATTTTTCACACCATGATCCATTTTAAGCCACTTGGTCACTTGAATCATTGAAGACAGGCTACATAGAGAAAAGCAGCGGCGCAGCACTACAAAACTGTTGGGCTGTTACTGTTAGGTGTGTTGGGTGTTGACTTAAAGAATTGGAATTTGGAAATGCTTGGACTTGTCTTCACTGTTGTAGTGTTGGGTGTTGTCATGTTGGCTAAATGGAAATTTGGGAAACTGCAAAAGAGCAAAACGGTCATATTGGAAGCTAAATTATAGTTCCTGCTATGCTGCAACTGTCTTTATAATTTTATTGTGTCTTATTATTTATTTATGTAAAATACTAAAATGTATCCATGCATTCAGTTCTTTTGGAAGCTGGCGTATCCACTTATCCATCTGCACAATACCAAACCATGTGCCCCATATCCATGCTACATATCAACACATGAATCATAACCTTTAACGTACATAGCATTTAATTCCCTCTATACGCAGATTACTAACAACGTTCCTTGGGTAATGCTAATGCTTAATGCTACGCTATGCCTGCGTTGTTGAACAAACAAAACAACTAACAAGAAGACTTCACAATGTATTTGTCACTTTTACTTTGCATTGTTCATCTACTTATAAACTTGATGTATAGTGACTAGTGAGTCCAATGCATGATGCGCCCAGCATTCTAGCAATAATCTGATGACAGATGCAATTGGACATGGCAGAGAAATCATCCCCTCAAAGAGTAGTGATATTTTAGATGCCAGTTACAGTGACAATTCTTGTTCCACACTTGTAATTTTTTCTAGATAAACAATGGAAAGAAGGGTGGTTCAAGCAAAGTACATTATGGCACACATTGTTTGCTGCAATCTGAATTCAACAACAGATCTCAACAATCTAACCACAACTTATTCCAAAAGCTAAACAGAACATGAAAAAAAGGGCGTACCTAGTGCAGAGAGCTCCCGCTCTATGTGGGGTCTGGGGAAGGGTGTTAGTGGCAAGCCTTACCCTCGCCTGTGCAATGCGAGGAGATCGCGACTCGAACCCGGGACCTTCCGGTCACAGGCGGTAAGACTCTACCGCTTGCACCAGGCCCGCCCTTCAAAACAGAACATGAAACTATAAAAAATATATAACGGGCTGGAACACTAAACATTCATTCACTGAAACAAATCTATTTCTCTACTTTTGATACCAGGATCCATTTTAAGCCACTTGATCACTTGAATCATTAAAGTCATGATACACAGGAAACAACAGCGCTACAAAACTGTTGGGCTTTTGGAGTGTCGGGTGTTGGTTCATTTAATTAGAAGTTCGAAAAACGGCAAAAGAGCAAAATGGTCATATTGCAAGCTGGTTTATAGTTTCTGCTACGGACATAGTTTTAATGCGACTTATCAGTTATTTATTCATGTTTTAATAATACTGAAAACGCACATCCGGGAATCAGGTTCTTTTGGAAACTGGCTTATCCGCTTATCCAAATGTGGCCGTTACCAATCCACGTACCATGTATCCACGACATGTACAGCACATGAACCATAACCTCTCGAACACGTGTCATTTCCTTCCCTTTATATGCAGGTAGCATTCCCAGATTAACAGGGTTTCTTTTGTTCGCCACCCAGATTGACAAGCTTTGCTGTCACACATATCACAGACACATGGTATTGACTAGAGAGTGGCCCCAAAGCAAAGAAAGAACTACGTGAAACCTAATCATACTTTGCTTCGATCCAAAGTCTAGTCTACAGCAGCCCTACAGTTCTAGGCCTAAAACTACCTGAACAGCAGCAGCAGGGATGCACACCAGGAGTAAACCCAGGATGTGTGCACCAGATGATTTTTTGCAAAAACTCGAAGCTCCTAGGTATCGTGTATATACTAGTTCTAACTGGGTCAGATCCGGGTTCAAACAGCTTAGGGTTTGCGGTGCTCGCTTCGCATAGGAAGGAAGGAAGGAAGGAAGGGGGGAGAGAAGGAGCAGGCATACCTGGTGGGTGATCGTCGCCGGCGAATAGGTGGCGAAGTGCGGCGGCGCTCGCCCAGTCGTCGCTGCCTAAGGAAAGAATGGCGCCGGCGGAGACCTGACGGAGGGCGGTGGCGGTTGCCCACTCAGTCGCCGCACTCGTACGGAGAGAAAGGCGAGAGAACGAGTGAGGTGAACAGAAGCAAAGAAACGGATCGTCTGTCTTTGCTCAGGGGCCGAGCCTCTCTGGAATCGTGGCTTTGTTGCTGGACCCTTTTTTTTAGCAAATGTTGCTGGATTCTTGGGTTGGGTTGGGTTGGGTTGGATTTGGACCTTGCGCAGATCTGGACAGGGGCCGCTAGGACGAAGGTGAGGCTCGACGACGGCCTCCCCGTCGCGCAGATAAGCGGATAGGCCTAACAGTGGCTCCGTTCACTTCGTCGAAAAAAAAAGTCGAAACATAGTTCCGGTTAATTTGTTGTGAGAGAAAAACACTATTTCTGCTGAAAAAATAAGCTGAAAAGTACGGATTATAAGAG